TCCCCGGGGGCCCCGGCCCCCCGCGGAGCCAAGCCGGAACGCGCGGGTGTCTCCGAGGAACCGGCTGCTCCGCCGGCGAGAGGGCACCGCCGCCTCGCCCGGGGGGCGGCCGCTGAGGCGCAGGGACTGCGGTTGCTGCTGCGAGGCCGGCGTCCTTTCCGGCGGCTTCGGTGTCCGGAGGTGGTTCACACGGTGTGTTCTCTTCAGCGGGGGAAGAGCTGTAAAGTCCAGTTGTCCTTTGCAGGTCTGCTGGGCTTTGTTCCCGTTCCCTGCCTCCCGTAACCAGCCTGCTGTGGAGCCGCTTCCCCGTGCGGACAAGCCCCGGCTCTGCGTGCCCGAGGGGCGGTTTGATGGCGGGAAGGCAGCGCCGGGGCGGACGGGGGGGCTTCCCGGCTCCCTGGCTGGGCTGCCGCCTCTCTCCCCCCAGCAAAGAAAGCTGCGATTCTTCCAGATTGAAGCTGTGGCGCGAAGGAATTACTCCGAGATGGATTTGGTGACCCTCCCCACATCTGTGTGTTACACTCACCATTATTGGGTTGTCAGGTCAGGATAATTTGGTTTGAAAGGGAACCCGGGCGGTGCCTGCTCCATTGCCCTGCTTAAAAGAGGGTCAGCCACGAGGTCAGAAAGGTGTTTTTTTCCCCAAACCGTCAGTCCCTGGCCTGCGTGGTCGCCAGGGGCTCTTCCTTCCCTTGAGCAAGACTTGCGCTTGCCCTTGTTGAATTTCATAGGGCTGCTGTCAGCCCTTTCCTCCAGCTCTCCCAAGTCCCTCTGAACGGCAGCCCTGCACCCCAGCGCGTCAGCTCTTCCCCCCAGTTTGGTGCCACGCACACATTTGGCAGGAACGCACCTCCTCCACGTCACTTGTAACGGTGTTAAACTGGACGCGTCCCAGGACAGACCCTTACAGCATTCCCCTTGTAACTGCCATGCGGGCAGAGTACCACCCACTAACTACTGCCCTCTGAGCCCGGTTATCCAACCAGCCTTCACTGATCGAGTTGTGCACCTATCCAGACTGTAACGTCCTAATTTGGGTGCAAGAATAATGCACGGGACAGTGTGAAAAGGCTTGCTAAACTTGGGGTATATGACATCCGCTTTGCTTAAGCTCCCACCTGCAGCTGCAAGGAGATCTGCCTGTCTTTGTATTTTAACATCTAAGGCTTGGACAAGATTTATCCTCATCAGCTTGGACACCTGTTAGTGTTTCTTAAAGAAATTTTAACATTGAAATACTGTAAAGACATGTTTCTTGTTATTTTTATTGCATTATTTTTAAGTTGCGTATTGTACTCGTAGTATTTGTGGTGAACTTCTTAGAAGTACTCCTTTAGAGTACTAGGTTTAGAACAAATGTCTCATAAGCATGCCTTGGGAGTCACATTGGGGAGCCACTAAGGAGGGGATAAAAGAAATATTTTTCTATTAGAACAGTCTTTAACAATTGTCCAAAACCATTCCCTTATCCCAATGCTGTAAATACTTTGGCCACCTGCACACTGGCTGCCATGGGCCAAAGCTGTCAGCAGCACCTTCTGACAGCGTGCGGACCATAGTCATGCTTGGCTTGCTTACAGATCCACCTGCCAGCCCTTGCCCAGGGTTTGTTGGCATTGTTCCTTATTTTATTTTTCCCATCACCAAGTTCTCGAATTTCTGAAATGTCTCTTGTCGCTGGGGGCCGAGTACTAGGTTTCCCACACCTTCTGTTTTTTTGGAAGAAAAAGAGTGTCTAAATATCAGCGCAATGTTTTCTGTTGTCTTTGAGCACAACGGCAGCTGTGGTTCTGGAGTCCTACTGAATCTACGTGGGCCCTGGTCTGAGCGCGTTTGTTCTGCCCTGTTAAATACTACTTCCGAAGCATACAATAGCTTACGTCCTTCATAAACTGTTGTGAAAGGTTAAGCTAGTTTTGCTGATGCTTGAGAAATACAACCTTTGTCAGGTTTTGCCTTAAGAAAAATCTTTGCCATAACGAAATTTTTCCTTCTAAAGAAAAATCCGTTATGTCTCCAGTAGGAGGCTCGTTCTTTTAGTGTAATAAATGCCTCGCTAAGTCAAGGTTCAACGAATGTTTTTCTCTAGGAAGCTGAAGAAGGAGAAGGTGCAGCTGAGGTGCAGACGCTAGAGAAACAGAGACGCACTGGAGAGCAGAGCCAGAGAGCGCCTTGGTGAAGCACTGAGGGATGCCAAGGAATGAACTCCAAGGAAGTGAGTACAGTGCCTTGAGCCCAAACAGCCTCCCCCGAGGAGCTCAGGGCTGGTGCCACCCCAGGACGCCCCATTCTGCACTTGTGCCAGGGGCGAGGGCAACAGGCCAGCAGCGCTGCGTTCATCACACAAGAACCAGGGGAGAATAACTTCTTGGGGAACAGCGTCAGCAGAATAGCGCTAAGATTTATCCCCCTCCTGCCCCTTACTGCTTATTGGCATAATGTTTTCTATCATTCCGAGTGTTTTTCAAAGAAAATACTGGTTTAAGTAGCTACGTCTGTGCAGGTGGCAGATTTACTGTCTTGTATAAACTTTGTGACTCTGCCACAAAGTGCACAAATACCATCGTAGATTATTAGAATACAAAAATGTTAACTACCACCTTCCCTGAAAAAAATCTGCTGTCTATTTAGCTAAACAGTTGATAGCTGCTCCGTAATTACTTTATTGAGCAAAACAGTTTTCTGTGCTTATATAAGAGATGATTATAAATAGATTAGTTATAGCTGAAGCCATTAGAGATCAAGTATTCAACACGTGCTTGGACAGCATTAAATTAGTGTTAAAATAAATCTGTGCATGCAGGCTTAATGCCGTGGCCAGCTCTTAGGAGCAGGTCAAAGCGCAGCTACCAAACCCAGTATCAAGATCACTTGTGCAGGTAAGGAAGGGATGCTTACTTTACTTTTCATCGGTGCTGTTTTTAGATACAAACTGGCTGTGAACCCGTCAGATGAGAATAAAAGGAAGTTACAGGACTGGCTATAGCATACGGTGGAGAGGGCGGCTTCTTACATAGAGGGCTGTAGGGGTAAGTCACGCCTCTGTGAGGGGTGCGCCCCCTCCGACGGAATTAACAGTACTTTGGTTCAGGCATCACCGACAAGTGGGCCCGAGTGAAGCCAGCCCTGTTGTACAAACCTTGAGAAGTTGTGCTAGGCCCTGTCTTTTCAGGAACTTAAGGAATTTAAGTCGTGTCTTATCAGGAGCTAACAGTACCAGCCGGAGCTGGGACCAGGCGAAACTACAGCTGCTGGGGTTGCGCAGCTGCATGTACACCAAAGGGGGGTTTGACCACAAGTCAATCGCTTTATGCTCTAAGTATCTGCAGCCACCACAGCCCACTGAGCTCTCCTGCACAGCAGCGGGCTGCACGGTGGCGATCTCCCCTTGATGCCTCTCGGGGTTAGTCCTCGAGGTCGAGAGATCCCGTACCCAGCATCCGGTATCTACGGCGAGGTAAATGACATATTAGATCTAAAGCACATTGTGTACAAGCTAGCTTAATTATTAGAAGTGTAGGAAGTAGTAGAGTGTTTGACCTCTGTCTAATCATCGTTGAATCATTGATTAATAAAACCTTTTGGTTAATCCCACAACAATGACTTCTCTTAATAATTCACCTGCGATAGCCTCTCGATTTATTAACGTAACCGTCTTTATTTTGGGATGTAATGCAAGATCAGTTTCCCTTTTCTTAGTCCTGTTCCTTCCTCTCATCTTGTGTCCTGTTCGTAGCGTGGGACAAAACCACAACTTATTCCTCCCTCCTCTGTAAATGAGTTCTGGTCTTACTCTGTTTCCAAAACACTTAAGCAGGAGAGTGATGTAAGAAGCTGTACGTCTCCCTGGGTTTGTCCCTGCTTGCACAGAAACAGCTGCACTTTCTCTGTGAAATACAGTACCACGTTATAGCTGGGATAAGCAGGTACCACAAGTAATCTCAGCATGAGTAGGATTAGCCAGTGACACAGGCTGGAAACATTAGCTGCTGCTAAAACGGCTGTTTCCTCTCTTGCCAGGAACTTTGACAGTTGAGGGAGCAGTATCTTGCTTCTCACGGGCAGCCACCCCACTTAACGCAGAATGAATTGTCTGTGTTCAACACTCGGCAGGTTCTGTCTGGCATCCAAAATTTGTTTCATGCTGTACCGGAGAGCTCCTGCTGCCACACATCCTAGTTCTGAGCAGTCTGAAAACAGTGCCGAGCCCAAGGAGCAAGACTTTAGACAAAATAAAGAGTGAAAGAAGGCAACACCAAAACAACCTTCAAAGTGACAGTAAACCAGAGCTCTTTCTGCCTTAGTGCATGTTGCCTCTCTGTGTCAATGCCTCAGAGAGGCTAAATCTGAAATGTCTAACTGCTAACCCCCCGCTTTTTTTAAAGTAACCCAAGAAACCTGTTTAGGTTACTTCATTAACATTAATAGAATTATTGATGTAGTGTCTGGTCAAGGTCCCTACTAAAATGCATTCTATGCTATAGCCACTCTAGGGGACTCTTGCAAGAATACGTCAAAACACCGGCTTTGTAGTGCCAGGGGTATGGTGAGAGACCAGACCAGACCCAGTAGAGGAAGAAAAAGGAGAAAGTACTGCTGAAAGGCCGGAGAGAGTAAAAGCCTTTTCCATAGAAGCCCGTGCTCAACATCACTTCTGTAAATGCCAGGTGCAGAAGAGGCAAAGCTTTACGAGATAATGCTGGGTGCTTGCAGTGTGCTGTATGCACTGCAAACAATTTAAGATATCAAAAGCATTTAAAACTGAAATGATCTCTACTACTTCAGTATGCTGCCCGCCCCACCACTGCGGAAAAAGAAAGGGAAAGCTTTTGTGTCCCTGGCCTGAGAAAGCGCAGTTCCTCCTTCAACAACACAGCGTGTTCCTTCAGAACTCGGCAAGAAAGTCTGCTGGTGTGCCAGACGCCTGTTTACCCAAAGCACGGTCCCATGAAAGCACTTAAATATAAGTTTTAATGGTTAAGTGAAGGAGAGGACTTGATTTTATTCACTGCCTTACCTGTCACAGGGGCACCGATTCCTGCATGTAACACAACTGCGGTGTTCCCTCCAAACGCAAGTTATTCCAGTATTTGAAGCATTTGTGAATGAAGATCTTGGGACCAATCCGGCAGAAAACCCAGACGTGTCCAGGGGTAAAGCTGGTTCTTCAGGATAAGACTGTACCTGCTGTTTCTAGTACAGCTGTAAGAAACTGTATGACCCAGCTCCACGTGGCTTCCACTAAGGACACCTCACGGCAACTATACGTACCCACAAAGATCGTGGGGTCCAGTTCACAGTCTGCTGGCATTTCAAAGCACTTTTTATACAAAGGGATTTACCAGACATACTTAATGCATTGAAGTGGTCAATAAGTGGTTACTAAAAGACTTCCTAGCACTGTAAGGCATTTCGTTCTGAAGAGGGACTAAAACCAGAACCGCGCTTCATGTTACATACACAGACTTATTTTCAGAGGCTATCCAGTCAAGGCTGAGGCCTTGAAAAAGACAGCCTTGGCAAGTCTGATACTTTTGGAAGATCCTGGTTTTAATGTACTACGAAAAGATTATTCCTGAAGTGTTCACTTGCACCCGTTCCACACTACTGCACTTCCCCCTAGGATCAAGCATCCTCTGGGCTGCTTTGCTCTGGAACGCTTTGGGATTGGAGGTAAAATATTAGAGAATCACAGGTTTGATCTCTGCTAAGATGTGGGAATGAGAGATCCGCATCTTTCTGCTGCATTCCCCACTTCTTACATGTATGCTAAAAACAGACCTCACCTCGTGCCTAGTCTGAGAGTTACAAGAAATTCCATAATGAAACATAACACTAGAAACACCTCGGAGCGGCTCACGAAAGGCCTGCCCTTTCTTGAGGTTTAAACACTTCACCTAAGTAACTTTGACAACTGCATACGCACATCTGGCAACATTAAGACGTGACAAGGCTGAGTGCCAGAGTTCAACACAGTCACTTAATAGCTTTGGTCTAAATTCTCTTGTAACAACAACTGCTGTTGATGGCAGTCCTTTTTTTCCCAGTGCTGTGCCTCGTAACGAGCCAGCTTTAGGTGCTCTTAGCTGCTGTGGGATGCAGTTCTGCCAGCTGCTACAGTGTCCCTACAGAGTACAGGACATCAGTACTGTGTGTCAGCTGCCAGGGTAGAACAGGGGCAGATAACGGACAACGCGTCTCATCTCTGGCAACTCAGCTGAGCGCAGCTGCCGAACTTCACGCTGCATTTAAAACAGAAGGTGGATGCAGCACAGACAGACGATAAAGTGCAGGAGAGAGTTCCCCTAGGTGTCAGTCATTTATTCCACTGTTTTAAGCCAACAGTGATCAAAAAGCAGATCCCACTGAAGATGTGTCCTTTCCTTCACCCACCCGCAACAGGGACAACTCGATGTCCGCAAGCGAGGCACGCCATCACGCTGCACCTACTGAACGCACGACGCAGAGGAGTTACAAAAGCAAAACATACAAGGAGCCCTAAACACGCCTTCGCAGACAACATGTTGGCTATTTCCACTCTAGATCACCTTCGAGCAGGCGGGTTGCACAGGCGCTCGTTTTTGGCCCCTGCTATCTAATCTGAGAGAAGTAAACCTCTGTGTATCACTCAATTCAGCTGGGCAGGTACGGTTTGCCTAATGTTAGGGCTATAGGTTTTCTTTTCTCAACTAAATGCCTTTTTATTAATGAGATTACTAGACTATCTCTAGTACCCTAAATATAGCAGAGGCTAGGCATGCAGTGGGAGGTTTTTGAACATTTAGCTGGAGGGAGAAGAAATGCTGTATTAAAATTAGCTTCTCTTTGGAGGTTCTCTTTGTTTTTTTTCTCCTTAGCACAATCATGTAGGCTTTATAAGAGAGTTTTGTAATAACCTGGATTCATTCATAGCGCAAACTTCCTGAATTGATGAATTTATTAAACAAAAAAGCTTAGCCTTACAAATATTAATTTATCCAAAAACGTATACGAGTTTATCCAAAAATAAATTCTAGTACCTTGGATTATTTACAACAAAAATCCGGACCTCTAGTTTTGGTACCTTTTGTTCTGGATGGGCCGAGCAGATCAGGAGCCAGACTTTTCAGCTGGCCTCTACAGCAGGCAGGTTTCCAGTAACATGGGCTACAAAACACCTCAGCAAGTGAACCCCCGAAAACTCCAGAGAACTGCAGAAACAAAGGCATGGATGTTCAGCGCCAGATGCTGCTGTGCCTTGGAGTCACACAAGCAAACTCGGCCGCTGGCAGTGTTAAATTACATCTCCCGCAGTGCGGCGCAACCTTGGTAAATGAAGCGCTTCAGCTACGTACCCAAACAATTACAGCTTGCTGCTGTTAACGCAACGCCAAACAAATCGGCAAAGCCCGATCGCCCGCGGCAGAGGGACTGCTGCCCCCCGCGGAGAAAGGCCAAAGGAAGGGCGGCCCCCAGAACTGAACTCCGCTGGCTTGCAGAGGAGGGGGAAGGAGGAAAGGGGCCTTTCCCCACCAGCAGCCCGCCCTCCATCCCTGGGGCGCAGAGCAGTGCCACCTCCAGAGCAGACAGACCCCTTTCGGGTGGTTTGCCCTACTGCAAATCATCGCCTGAAAGGGAACGGCAGCAATGGAGCAGAGCTTTACCTGACCAGGAACAGCTGAGGAAAGCATCCCTGAGTTCTCTCCTTTACAAACTCCTGGATCTCCAGTACGTTCTTTAACAACAGTCCCCTGGAAGCTCGGTCAATTTTTGTTAACACCATCTGCACGGATCCAGAACAGGAGGGTTAAGAGAGGAAAAGGTTATTTTGCTGCTAGCCTGGAAGATCCGTAAGAGTCTTGGACCACCTTGCAAGGCAGGCTGAAAGCTCTGGCTCGTATCTAGGGGGAAAAATGGTGTAACTCAGTTCACCAAAACACTCGTATAGCCTGCGTAAGGAGTGGACCTTTCCAAGCTCCTCAAGCTGAGCACTGAAAAAGAAGTGTCCGCTTAATAAGTGAAGGAAAAAAAATCCCTTAAATCCCGCTTGCCCCCCTCAACACATTTTAGGCCTATTTTATTAACAATAAAGGTGGGGGGGTTACTGCTTAGGTAGGGCAACTTGCATAAGCTCAGGCAGAGGGCATACACCTTTATGGATTATCTGTAGCTGATAACCGACACAAGAATGAAGCTTTACCTACCACATAAGGAATCCCAAACTCTTCCAGCATCTCTACTGCAATGTGATCGGTTTTCTGGAGTCCTACTACACCATCAACTAATAGAAAAGTCCTCTTCAAGCTGCCAGAAATACAAGCAACAGTCATCACCACCATTATTTCACGCCTGCTCTGCTACTTCCAAATTCACACGCAAGAACAAGCAACACAGGATCTGGGGATAGGAAGAGCCAAGAAAAGCCACGCGTGGGAGCTGAGGGTCAGCGCGGAGCAGCACCTCAACCTTTTCTGCTGTTTGGATCTGTCTAAGCACGAATGAGTGACACCACAGAGGTTCCCGGGGAGATGCCATCAGGGCTAATCAACACTACCACTGGAGGTAACCAGCCCTCCTGTAGTTTTTCACCTGATCGCGTGACACTGTACATAGGCGTCTGGCTTTCGCTGCTCTGGGGAGGCACAGTTAAGTCCCTTACTTGCGCCGTTCCTGCAGATAGGCCTCCACCATCTCCACAAAGTCTTGCGGGGCACGGTAGCCGTAGCCTGGCATATCCACCAGAGTAAAGTACTTCCCTACTTTGAAGAAATTCATCTTCTTGGTGTGGCCCTGGGGAGAGGATTTAGGCAAGATGAAGGAAAAGGGTGGTTTTAAAAAGTTGCTTTAAGCAGGAGATGCCCCGCCAAACATCTCTGTACCATACCCTGCGCCCCCAGAGAAGGCTGCAAAAATGCTGCTGCCGCCTTAAGCTGCCTGGTTTCCTACGCTTGTAGCGATCCTATGTGGCTCTATCCTTAAAACAGGCTAAAAATACGTTTACGGGTCTCCGTGCTCGGTTCTTCCCAAAGGGATTCAGGGCACGTCTGCTCAGCCCGTACGACTCTTCTCTCTGGCACACGTGCCAGCCCTGGCTGAAGGGCTAAGCTGGGCTCTCTCCGCCTTTCCCTCTGCTGGAGCAAGGCCTGTGCCAGCCGTGAGCTGGTGGCCACCACGGCCGGCACGTTCTCCTGCCGCTTCAAGTCACCCCAGAGTTCGTCCCCTCTGGGTTGGCACCGAGAGGGAGGGACGTTAAAAATGTCACTCACCGGAGTTTTGGACACTCTGACCTCCACTTCTGGAGACAGTGAAAACAAGGCGCGGATTAAAGACGATTTCCCCACGTTGCTTCGGCCGATGAAGCACACCTGCAGCAGGAGAGGCAGAGAGAGCACTCCTACACCTGCCCACCTCCGCTCCCCCAGCGCGGCTGGGCAGGGGCACCCCTCCTGCCGCCCCCAGTCCCGCTCGTTCGCCAGCCTCCGCCGCCCGCGCCTGGGGACAGGGCCCCCGCGGGCA